TTGTTTAGCTTATGGATTGACATTACCATCATTTGATATTGATTGGGATGTGACAACTAGATGGAGATCCAGGGGATATATCGTTGATACAAATAGATTACAGAACTTCTGGAGACTGCTGTCTACTCTAACTGTGGCAAAACATGCCGGTCTCCTATGGCTAATAATGCATAATGCAGTTCCCACAGCTCAAACGCTGTATCACAGACGTAAAAAGGGATGGCCTTTTTGTGTTGCGTGCTCAGCAGGGGATGTGGTTGAGGATCAACATCATCTCTGGCTAGGTTGTGCAAATGCACATTCGTTTTGGGAACAATGGAGGAAAGTCCACATCATTCCGACGAATTGGGGGGATCTATGGACAGCTGATGGAGTTCTGTTGGGTACTGCGACAATTCGGCTAACAAGATCAAGAGCCTATGTCTTTGAGACCCTCCGGGCCGTTGTGCTCTGGTACCTCTGGAAGCAACGGAATGATGTTGTACGTAATGGAGAATCCTCTTCAGTACAACCACTGTTCAACAACATCAAGCGATCTCTGAGACAGATTATCTCTATAGATTGGAGAAAAAAAGTGAACAGGCCAGCGGGTTGCAGAGCTGGGGTTCACTGGTTCAGAAAACATTGGGCAATGTGTCCTCAGCTAGTATCAATTGACGGCTGTACTGGCGACATCTCGTTTGGGCCTTTTTTGCAGCAATAGGGATGAATGTTGTTACTTCTGTATTTGAGTCCTGCTCTTTTATAGGGTTTGTTGTTGCTGTAGGGTGTACCATTGTTATAGCTTAGTTTATTTTTGTGATTTTGCAATTTTTTTGCTAATTTTAAATTTTTATATAATTTTTCTCATATCTTTTTTTCACAGGGGACGGGCTCCGGTAGCTGACTGCACCTGGAGACCTCGTTGCCCCTGAGCTTGAAATTTGTGGACACTGTTTTTGTAGCCTTGGGCACTGGGCCCCTTTATTTAAAATTCATTAAAAAAAAAAAGAAAAAAAAAGAAGAAAAAAGTGAAGAAAAAAAGTTCCCTATGTTTCTTTTGATTTTAATACTTGTTTTCTCTGTTTTCTATTTTTTACAAATCACTAAAAACATCAAAATCCAAAAAAAAAAGGGGGGATTTTCAAACCCTACAACCCCATATATATATATATATTTATATTTTTGCCCATTCTCCTAGGAATTAAAAATGTCGGGAGTTTTTCGGCCGCACTTGGCCCCCGCGGTTGGCCACCGCGGCCATGATCCTGACCGCATGCGGTCAGCGGCCCCGCGGTCATGACCGCGGATGGGGCATTCACCTGGTCCGATGACTGGATTCTGTGTGGTATCCTACCCAGCCCACAATGGAGATACACAGAGGGATGGGGATATGTGGCATTTGGTGTGCAGAGGGATACTAATGCAGACAATCTGGCAGGTGAGGAAAGAGAAGGTCTTTGAAAAAGAGCAAATGCCAATCCCACAGCAGCAACACCAGGCTCTTGCCAATCTTAGGATCACTATTTTGGTAGATTGGAGGTTGGCAAGAGGTCGCCAGGGACGAGGAAGGCCCTGGTTCCTGAAAACATGGGCTATACGAAACCAACTGGTCTCCATTACTCAGGAAGGGGACATCGAACTCGCAAGATGGCTGTTGAAAAGCTCTTCTTACGGAGTTTTGAGATTGCAAGTTCCGCAGCTAGGTCCAGCCGTCTGGGTTATGAAATGGGAATGGTTTTTCGGGAGAAATGGATTTTTGTTTTCCTTCAGGAGTTTTGAGCTTCAAGGTGGTTTCTTTCTGGAAAGTATTTGCGTAGGAAAGGGACTGACACTGGACTCTGTTTCCAGGAAGTTTTCGCCGTTTCCGTTTTGAGCCGAAAGTGGGTAGTCTGCCGGGTTGAATCATAAGGCCCCATGCCTCTTCCCTACAGCTTTTTTGCAATATAAATATGATGACTTTCCAAAAAAAAGGTCCCAAAAAATAAGGGCAGATCAAGATATGGAATTGAAATATGAACTGAAAATTCTCACAAGTCTCTCCCTTCAAGCCTCTTTTTTTGGCCTAATCACAGCCATTGGGAAACATTCCTTATTGGTGCCATGGTGCCACCTAGGATCTCCACAGAAAGAAAATTTTTGAGGAAAAAAAAGGGGAAACTACGTGGGAGTCACAAAAATGAGTTATAATTGCACTGCGGCCGAAGATCCAGTTTCGAATTGCAGTTCGGGCACTGTATACAACCCAGCTGTGCTGGCCAGGTAGGGTGCCTGAACTGCAATTGCAAACTGTATCTTGCTTATAGTGGCTATGAATCCCCCGCGGCCGCGGTCACTGTGGGCACGACCACGGCCCGCGGCCCGGCGCCGCCGAGGGGAGAGGGGGTTGGAAGTGGGGGTTCGGATTGGGGTTCCGAAACCCCGACCCTACCTCCTCGAACAAGAAATTTAAAGTTAAAACAAACAGAGGGAAGTACGTTCATGTCACATCAGAGTTCGTAATTGGCAAAACAAACATGCAGCAGCAACTTCGTCATGGCCTGAGTTCAAAAAGGCGGTTGTAACCCAGGCCGCCAGTGGAGTCGGGGGGGTAGTTTGTAATAGGCACTTACGTTGTGTCCGTACGGGTCCGTTCCCAGGTACCGGGCCGTCTCACATTTTTCCGGAGCCTGTGCCACCTGTTTTAGGCAGAGCAGAGGACTGGTTACCGGCCTTTACCGTTGCTGGAGGCGGCCACACTCTCTGACGGGCCACGCATTCGCTCTCTCTCTCTCTCTCTCTCTCTCTCTCTCTCTCTCTCTCTCTCTCTCTCTCTCTCTCTCTCT